CATTAGGCAGGTGGTCAAGATTTAACCTTGGCGGTTCAACCTTTTCTACACGCACTGGTTTCATTGTCAGCTTAAGGGACGCTTCATTAAAATCCAGTGTAGCTTGTGCGTCTGAAAGAAAATCTATTCCTAAGATTAAATGTGCTTGCAGATTCTTTACTATAAAAAACATCACCTTTACTTGTTCGTCCTTGATACGGATATACAAAGGTACTTTACCTACGCACTTACATTTTTCTCCTTGCGCCGCTAATACTGTCGTATTATCCGCATTATATATGCGGTATTTGCGAAAATACTTTCTAAAAAACTTTCTGCCACACAGGAACACTGCGCGCCGGTATCCAGGAGTGCGGTGGCCGGGATATTATTCACCAAGACTTCAATCTTCGGAAGAGTCAAATTTTTCACCATTACTGTATTTAACTTGTAGGAAGAGGGGTTTTCGTGGCCTTCGGATTTCCGCACCCTCTCGTCAGCAGAAATCCGTTTTAGTTTAAATTATTTTTCCTTTCCGTGCTTTCCTTCTTTTTCCACTGGCCTTGAGACTTTTTTCCTGGGTTGCTATTGAACTGTCGACGTTCGCCGGCTGTTTTTGAATGCTCGGGTTTCCTTGCCCACTGATTCGCTTTTTCTCCGTAGCCATGTGCTTGAGTTTGCTGTAGTCTTGGCGTACCAAATTGGTTTCGCTGTTGATATTGGCGTCTTCTTTCGACGTCCGCCGTTCTTCTACTTTCAAACTGGATTGCTAGCTCAAATAACTTTTCCAGTGTAGTCGGATTTCTTAATTCAATAAAGTCTTGCACTTGGGGTAGTAACCTCGGCAAAATCACTTGAATTATTTCAGGATCCGGACGGTTTCCATACAAGAGCTTGAAAACGTGAATTTTTCTTAAAATAAAGCTCGAGAGGTTTTCGATTCTTTGTTGATATATACTGAAAAAGTTCCGTTTCTAATTTCGCACGATCCCTTACAACAGGGAAGGCTTTTAGTAGGGCAGTCTTGAAATTTTCGTAAGTATAGGTGGGACTTCCTGCTTGACCCAAGAGACTTCTGCCGATACATTTGAACCAGTTAAGCGCTTGGCCCCTCAAAGCGCTGGTAGCTAAGGTAACTTTTTGAAACTCGTGCACGGGGTAGAGCATGAAGTGGTCATCCAATTTTTCCAAAAAACTGGTTACCGGTGAGTTTCCATTAAACGTTGCTTCTGGTTTCATCGAAGCGCGCATGGTCTGGACGATGTAACCCAAATCCTTCCAGGGCGGCAGCTGGCATTTCTGGATTCTGAGCCGTTTCTGCAGGCAGCACAGGTTCTTCTTGAAACTCGGCCATGGTTATTCTTCTTCGTTGGGCGCCACTATCAGGTTCAATGTTCCTTCTAACCTTCTTCGGGAACATACAAGGACCTGACTAGGAACAGAGAGCTTACTAAAGCTATGTTCACTAATTGTAGTAAGTAGACAGGATACAGACGAAGGGTATACAAAACCCTTTATTTTTCTCTATATACAATAACTTCCGTACTTCGGAATACAATGACCCTCCACTCGGGGTCTAACGTAAAAGTATAAAAATAAAACTAAACTCTAATTTAACTTTAGAATAATACACGTGGAAGATTGGCCTTATAATAACAGGAAGCGTATGTAGCACAGAGACTGTGAACACTACAATACGTTTAATTTATCAAGAGGATTAAAACCTCTGGCCTGGAAGGCAAACAGCAACTGCGTAACTTCTAAGGTAAGCGGCCTGCTTCGAACTCACTGCTTCCTCTCTCCTTGCTTGGCAAAAAGGCCACACTTAAATACTTGGCGTTCGCCAGACAAACTTTGCATAAAAACCTTCACGCTTATAATTCTGGCCGGAAGTAGAAAATAAGAAGTGATAGTAAAGATTTAAAATAAAATAAACGTTAGTAAAACTTAAGATCCTTACATATTCCTACTAGCGTAGTGGTCTGAGTCATAAACTTATGGTCAGTGTACCTCCACTTAGGTTTCCACGATATTTTTTGATATTTAATTGCTCTTCAAAATCTTCTTTCATCTTATCCCAATCCCCCTGAAGTCTGCTAAGACTATAGGGGGAATGTGTCCTGCTTTTTTGTTGGGTGTAATAAATTCACCTTCCTCTGCTTCCATATTGTCTTCAGGGTTTAGTTCCTCGAATTTATTTTTTTGAGCTGGTTTTCTTTTCTATTTCGGAATTTGATAGAGTTCTTTTATGAGTTATTTCTAGGGGTTATGTATCCTTCTTTATCTATTGTGGTTTTCTTTTTGATTCTAGATTTTTGACTAGCAGTAATATCAAATTGATTTGTTTCCTGTGTTGGATTATTTAGGGTTTCTTTTTGTTTCATTTCCATTAATGTATAAGTTCTAAGATTTGTATATCCTTTCCCATAGCATTGACGTGGGCTAAGTGAACTTCAGTCGCATTTTTTTGATTAAATGAATTTTGATAAGCATGAAACTCAGAAAGCATAAGTTGCTTAAGTTTTTCTAAGTTATCGCAGGTAACTTCCAGATTTCTGTGATCACACACAGATTTGATACGGTTTTCGATCGCCTCCTTATCCATGATATGCATGAATCCTAACTTTTAACCTAATGGCAAAAAGAATAAAGGAAACATACTTATCGTGAACATCAAGAAGAGACGACAGCAACTCAGGATCAGCTTCAGTAGTGAGAGCAATGTCGTTTTCCCTTGCTTCACAAAAACAAGGAATGAGCCAGAGCGACGCGAGATACTTATACCAAAAGTAGACATGACGTCATCTCACGGCAACCAATCAGCTATCGGCACGACTCGGCTTTCCAGATGACGTAACATCAAGTTTCGTTTTTGTATCTTAATTAGGCTTAAACAGTCCGTTCTTAATAAAAACAAACATAAACTATATATAACTTATGTAAGAGTTAGAATCATTTCAATCATTTTAATTTTAAAATTATTATTGAGTTTAATAGTCATTTTATTTATTTATTTACTCTTGTTCCTCTTTGCTGACGGTCTTCGATAGGGCTCCAGCACTTCTAATTTTAGAAATTAAGCACTGGCTGGATCCACCAAATTAATATAGATAAAATATGGGGTAAATCTTTATTGCTATCCAAAATTTCACCTACTTATCAGGAAAATGTCACCTACTTAGAGAACCCAGAGATGAAAAAGATAGTTTCTGAAATGATTTGACCTTAAACTAATGCATGTAAATGTCAGCAAGTACAGGGCTAAGGAAACTACCCATAGCTAATTCTTCAATCTGGTGATAATATTTATTTTGGAAAAAAAAGTGAGTTTTACTGAAAGAGATTTTAGTAAACTATGATTTATCATCAACAATCATATCGGTGTTCCATGATGATGCATGACGATGATTAATCATCAATGTTTGAGTTGAATCACTAATCAATATTTGATATTAAGGCAAAGATTTAACATCAATGTTTGATTTCAAATCGCCATTTACTAATATTCCTGTTGAGAGAGCACCAAAATATTTTGAAACTAACCTTCAAGAATTCCATTTCACACATACTGAAATTGAGGAATTAATTTCTCTTACTTAAGTCTATTTGAGTCAAACCCACTTTGTTTTGTAAAATAAATATTATTATTTTCAAATTGAAGGAATAATTATTGGTAATCCTCTTAGTCCTGTACTTGCTGACATTTGCATGCACTATTTTGAGGTCAAATTATTTGAGAAACTTATCTTTTCATCTCTGGGTTAGCTACATAGGTGACACTTTTGTGCCATTTGATGGTAATAAAGAAGATCTATCCCATATTTTATCTATTATTAACTTGATTGATCCAACTATTCAGTTCATTTTTCAAACTGAATATGATAATACTCTTGCCTTCCTTGATATTCTTATAATCCACAACGAATTTGATTTCAGCACTGCTTATTAAAGTGAACACTTTTTTGTCTGTTTGCCTTTTTCTTGCTAAATCAAGTCACCCAACTCAGCAAAAAATGGCTTCTTTTTACTATTATGTATTTCATGCTGTCAAAGTTTGCTCTTGAGAATCTTGCTTTCTAATGAACTCAGGTATTTGATATCAGTTGCCACTGACTGAGGATTTTCACCCATGGTCATTGACAAAACCTTTAACATTTTTTTTCATCTTGCTATCCAGAAAGACATTCCTTTATTAAAAATAATATGAATAACCTTGCTGCACTTCTGTTTCATTCTTTTATCAAATGCAGATTTGCATGTATTCTGCACAAGTCATTTTATCACCTCTCAATAAAATCCATTGTTCATTTCTTAACTATTCCATTCTGACTTTAATTCATGGGAAATTTGTAGCATATCTTGCCAATGTAGTTTGAGATAAATATTGGCCAAACTAAAAGAGTGTTAAATTTTCGCATCAAAGAACACAGATCTTATGTTCAAAAAGAAAAAATAAACAAATCTTCGATAGCTAATCATAGTTGGAAATTTAAATCATAATTTTGACTTATTTTTTTTTTTTTTTTTTGCTTCTAATGATGAGCTGTATCTGCTTGCCCTTGAAATTGATAGGCTTTGTTAAAATCCACACCAAACACAAGGTTGTTGCTTTGCCTAATTTTATGCTTATATGGAATTCATCTAAAAAACACTTTTGTTTTCTAATGTAAATGTGCTTTCTGAAATACTGTATTTTAGAAATTGAATTTACATACAAAATAACTTTAAAAATATTATCTAAAACTGTAGGTGCAATAAATTATATGTAATTGAATTTACAATATATGCAATGAACTAATATATAATTGACAATGCATGATTTTTAAAATTTCTTATTGTTTTCTTAAGGCTTAAGGTTTGAAAACGTAAGTTTTATTTTCTTGCTGTTGTTAACTATTTATATGGCATATATATAACTAAAGAAAAGTTCATTAAAACTCCATGAAATTAATGCTATTTTATATACAGTTGGTATTTTTTTAAAATTCAGATGCTAATTTGTTACTTTATTTCTCTTATAGGCTGCATCTATATTAAAACAAGCTGAAGGCCTCATTACTTTAATTGTAGCAAATCCTAACAAACCATCACCTGGTTACATATATGAGGACGAAAAGAAATGTGCAGAAATCATAGCAAAAAATCCTGAAAAGAATATGACGATAAAATCTTGTGAAAAGAAAAAAGAGAAAAGTAAGGCAACTCTTCCTACCTTTAAACTCAATATTAAAAAATTAGTTTAACAATAAATTTAATTTGGTACCGTTATTTTATGACTTTAACAGTTCTGTATTGTAAAATGTCTTTCAATGTGTTTGAATATTTCTTAGTAATGAAAAAAAGTATTTTAAAATTCTTTTTTCTGTATTCTGTGATTTAGGTAAAAACAGATTTATGCTAAAACAGATAAAAACATTAAGTTTTTTATAACTGCTTCTTGTTTATCTGTAATATTAGTCACATTGTTTAATAAATATTTTTTGATAATAATATTATAACTACACAATATATTGACTGATACTTTTCTGTTATCAGGAATACACACACATACATGCATATGTGCTTATATACATGCATACATGAACACACACATTCATTCATTTCTATGCATACATTTCTATATATATTTCTATATGTACATGCATACATACATTTCTGAATCCATTTCCCATAACAGAAAAACACGTACTGACTTTAAAACATTGACAAAAAATTGTTATGCAAAGTTGTAATTAATTCATTTGCCTATATCTATTTATATCTGTTCAACACGTTTTGAAGAGGAATGATAAATTTTAAAAATACATTGCATGAATTTACATTCATTCTAAAGGTAAATGTATAAAACTTCTGTAATATAACTCTGATGGATTATTTAATTTATTAATTTATGAAGGATTCTATGCCCTATCTCACTCAAATAGTTTTCTTATGAAAGTAAGTTCAGTCAAAGGCTAAATTTTACCTATATTTAAATTAATTGTATTTTTTATGAATGTAGAATTTTTATTTCTAAATTTTGTACTTAAAAATAATAGCTGTATTTCATATGAAGTGCTAACTGTTTTAGCATTTTATACATTCAGAACTACTCTCTCTTTTAGATTTAAAAATAAACAAATAAATAAAAATGTGCAGCAGTTGTAAAATGTAAAATTTTTCATTGCTTCTATTATTAGAAAACATTTATATGTTTTCTAATAATAGAAGAATTATTCTAATAATGAAATGATTTTTAAATGAAAAAAAAATCATTTCATTATTGGAAAACATGTAAATCTTAGAAAACATATTAGAAAGATATTAGAATATTAGGATATAAATTAGAAAACAATATTAGAAATACTCAATTCAGTAATTCAGTATTAGAAAACATTTATATGTTTTCTGATGAAATGATTTTTTTCAGCTTTATTGATGTAGTTTGCTATCTAATTCGTGTAATAAAAATTTCAGCCAGAACTATAGTTCCAGTTAGGAACTTCCTCACATAGAGTTATTTTCTGAACTGATTTTCATTCCTTAAGGTAATTAGGAATCAATCTGCAAATATTAGCACCTCAAGTATGTTGATGATGATTAAAATAACATGATAATTTCAATGTGATAATAAATGCTAGTTTATATCTATTACATAAGACATGAAACCAACAAATTCAAAACAAAAACTAGCATTTCTAACGAATTCTAAACATCTAGTTTTGTTTATCATTTAAATTTTGTTGTTTTATCCTCACTATATATTTATTTTCTGCATTTGTATAATTCTGTGAAATAAATATTTCAATAGTACATTTCAAAGTTGTCCTAGTATAAAATTATATTTCTATCATGATTAATTTTGTAATATCGTCTGCCTTCTGTTTTAATTTACTGTCTACCAATAAGTGTTTGGACACCCATGCAAATATTGATATCTGTGGTCATGATAATATGTCAGGCCCTCCACCATTAAATATTATGTAGCAAACAGCATTGGCATTAGTTGCATGTAAGATGCCATTAAGTGTAGAGTTATCCGATTTTAAGAAAGTTGTAATCGTCGGGTATCTCAGAAATGGCTGATCTTTAAAGGCCATATCTAGTAAGCTGAATTACCCCAAATCAACTGTGGCCTATGTGACTCAGAAGTGGAAAGTGAGTGGTGATTGTCAGCATGTACTTTGAGTCAGCAGACCCATGAAACTAGGAGATAAGAGATCAACGTGTGCTGTTCAGAGAAATTCAGATGAACCATACCCAACCAATGGCCCACATACTCCAGTAGTTTCAACAGGCTTCCGGGAATGTTGTTTTAATGAATACCATATGTAAAGAAGCATATCTACTTGGTTTTCATGGCCATGCTACCATCCATAAGCCTTTGATCACAAAATCCAACCACACTGCTTAATTATGTGGTGCAAATCATGTCAACAGTGGACCATAGATCAGTAGAAACAGGTTCTCAGGAGCAGTGAATCAATGTTCACCCTCTATTGATCAGATGGCAGGATCTGGACATGGTGTTTGCCTGGAGAATGCCTGCTGCCAGAATGCATTGTGCCCACAGTAAAATTCAGCAGAGTTAGAATTATGGTTTGGGAGTGCTTCTCCTGGTATGGACTGGGACCTTTGGTCCAAATTCACAGTAAGCTAAATGTTAATGCCTATTTCATTATTTTAGATGCCAGTGTGCTTCCTGTATTGTGGCAGTTTTACAGGTTGGACTCATGTTACTTTCAGGACAACAATGCCAGCTGTCATGTTGCAAGGTCCACCATGTTATGGTGACATGGATTGTTATGATGACAATGGGGTTAACCGAAAGGACTGACCTGGCTAGACCCCAAATCTGAATCCTATATAGAACCTCTGGAATGAGTTGGATTGCCCAATTAAAGTGCAATAAACATCCATGTAAGGAACTTACATATCTTCCCCAAGCCATGGAAGAAAATACCAATAGCCATCATACAAGATCTTGTGGAAAGCATACCCTGGAAGGTTAAGGTTGTGATTGTCACTTGTGGAGATTCTACCAGCTGTTGAATATGTAATAGACTGTGTTTTGCTTTTTAGTCACAGGTGTCCGAATACTTATTGGTAGACAGTATATTAAAGTATTCTGTTGTTAAAAAAATATTCATTAAAAGTATACCACTGCACATTTAAGATGATAAATATTTAAATTGCAGTAAAATTTTAAGAAACATTCTGCTGCTCTATATTTCACACTTTTCTTTCTAAAGCTAGTGCTATTTTGTGGAAGTCTCAGAGTGTAAGAAAAATACTAAAATGCTTGAAATTCTTCAATATTCTTCAAGTCATATGCTTTTTATTTCTTGCAAATGCATAATTATTTTTTTCCTTCATCTAAATGACTAAATCAACTAAGCATTTGCTTGTATATATAGTGATAATATTCTTTTCTGTTTGCTGATTTTCTGATATTTTGTATAACTACAAAATCATCTTTCATTCGCATGCTTTCTGTGCAACCAGCCTCTGCTGGCAACAGCTTGCATGCTATAATGCCTTTGTGAGTATTTTATCTTTCTTTATATTTTATGTAGCTGTTTATTCTTAGAACTGCTCTAAAATCTTTAATATTTTTTGCCTATGCACAGATCAGGGAAATTACTGTAATAACTTGTTCTCATTCTTCATTATAATTTATTAACAAATAGAAGCACACACAGTATATTTACACATTTTAAAAACTGAATTTATAAATGAAACAATCATGTGACATTTTAAGAATTAAATGGTAAGAGGATATCACTTTTTACCTGCTTTTCTCTTAAACCTATATATCTCTTGAACCTATATCTCTACTTGTTACCCATGAGAAATCGTGTTAGGACAACTTTTACTCAGGATCTTTAAATTAATGTTTTTGGAGTTAAAGCAAAATTTCTATGATTTATGCATATGTTATGTCATTTTGTTATTTACTTGTAGTTATTAAAGGGTAACTTCAGTGCGATTAACTGAAAAAATTCAGATCTAAGATGTTGTAGATGCACTGTGTACAATATTGAGACTAATACCATTGCTTTACTTAAGCAGAATACAAATCTAACTTTTCATTTTGCTATTTACCCCCCCCCACACACACACACCAAAAAAAAAAAAAAAAAAAAAGATAATAATATTTTGGGAAGTACTTAAGTCAGTAAAATAAATCATAGATTATTAAAGGCAATAATACTATCTTTAATTGCTTAATAAAGGCAGATTTTTGTGCTTACTCTATACTTGTGTCGTATATTACCTAAAACAAAGTTTCTTAAACTGTGGGTTGCGACCCCCATGGGTCCACAGGGCCTGCAGCAGGGGATTGCCAAAAATTTTAGCAGTTTTGATATTTCTTTAACTTATTATAATATTTTTACACAATGTATGTTTAAATAGATAAAGATAAGACAATACAGACAAAGAAAAAAATGAAAATGTTCCGATGCATTCTTTTTATAAGATAAACATTCATTTTACTTGCCTTGCATGTGATGCTGTCATTTCATCTGTTACTTATTTAAAATTTTTACATTGTTCTATGTCTTAAAACTAGAAATTAAAATTAATGACCTAAAACTGCAATAGTACAAGTGAAAAAATTGACAGTTTTTCTCATGTGTGTGCATGTGTCAGATTTGTGCAATGCTTATGAGGTCCCCAAAATTTTCGTAAATATCATGGTGTTGTGAAAAAAATCTCAGTGATAAAAAGGGGTCGTGACAGAAATAAGTTTAAGAATCCCTGGCCGAGAATATATATGCGAGATATTGATTTGCTTATTTAGTTAACTGCAATAAGACACTGCAAATAATATTTTTCTCAAGAAAAGTACCTTTCATGAGAGACTTCTTATATATTTAAATTATAGAGTAGGAAAATCATAAAAATGCCCATATATCCAGCATGTCCTTCTGAATTTCGAATCTATATTGAAACATTGTGAATTCAGCAGTTAGGTACTTTTATCCCTATAAGTCCATGTGTAATGTGTATATTAATAATTATAATAAAGGAATATATGTAATGTGTATATTAATAATTATAAATGCAATCTTTATACAGTCAAAAGTCGTTAATCCGGACACCCATAATCCGGAATGATCTATAATCCGGGCCTCAAAGCTACAAACTTTCTGCGCATGCGTTCGTTGACACATAAGACCTTTAGGGCTGCGAATATGCGTGTACGCATGTGCAAAATACGTTTACGAATGCACATTTAATGTATAAAGGACGGTATAACCTAAGCTAAAATTATCTAATTCAGTTAATGTTGCAGATTGCATTGTTCCTTAATCTTTGAATTGGATCCGGCTTATTATTTTTTGCATACTGTTAGAGCAATTTTATAAAAGTAAGCTGAAACTTTCGATTATGTCAAATAAAATTTCTGATATGTATTTACTAATATGTAAAGGATCTACAAAGTGAAAGTATGTTTCGAAGTCCATTAAACAAAAAGTGGAATTGCTGCAAAAAATGGATAAAGGCATATCCTTTGTTTATCTAACCATTCCAAAATCTGTTTATCAATTTCACACTGCTCTGCGTGGGGGGGGGGGATGTCGCAGCGTGCAATGAATTGGAAGTTGATCTGTCAGCACTATCCTTATCTTCAGGGCAGATGTTTTTATTTTATTTGGCTTATAATTCCTTACTAAATGTAGTATTTCATCTCGATATACTCCGTCTTTGATATGATTTAAATCATCCTCGTCATTATAATTCGCTTCTGATAGCGAAGATAGTGACACGGAATTTATTGAAAATGAAAAAATTTTGATTGACAAATTAGTCGGTATTCTCGACACAGCAATTATAGGACTTGAACAGCGGAACTTTGTAACTGAACAAGAAATTATGTCTGTTTATAAAATTAAAGAGAAAGTATTATCACATAAAAAATGAAGCAACCTAAACAACTTACATTGAAGGAAATGTTTAATAAAGTAAACAAATAAATATTAAGTTTTTTTTTTTTTGTAAATTTTGATACCCTTTAGATCATAATTGTTCTTTATTTCATAAATTACGGTTTCATATTTTTAATTTTATAATTTCTGCATGCCATCTTACCATATTTAAACTGATTATCTATAATCCGGAAAAATCGATAATCCGGAATCGCCGAAGTCCCGACGAGTCCGGATTAACGACTTTTGACTGTATTGCTAATAGCGAAGAGCTTTAAATTTCACATAATTTTTACCTCAATCATTAGCTGTGCTTTATATCATTTCAAAACTGTGTCAGGGATTAGTGTTATATTATCATGAATTTTACATTTAACACAGCAAAATTTAAATATGTCCTTTTTATTAATGCTTTAAAATAATCCAATCGTATTTAGTCTTTAATTAAGCATGCTATTTATATTTAATTTATTTGTTTCAGGTCCTCCACCTCTGCTACCTCCCAAACCCATACATCTTATGGGCAAACCAGCTCCTAGCAATGCAATAAGTTCCACCATAACCTCAAATGCAGTAACAAATTCTGTTTCATCTGTAACACCCACCACAGTAACTGTTAATGAGACATCATCATTATCCGTTGCTAAAACTGAAGATGCCAATGGCAACAATACTTTATCTTTTCAAGAGGACAGTGAGCCACCACTCGACCCCAAGAAATGTGATATCAGACCTGGGAGAGAAACACTGATTGAAATTACGAAGGATAGAATTGGTCTTGGCCTTAGCATTGTTGGAGGTTCCGACACACCTCTTGTGAGTAGTATATTTCTGTGACCTGTATTTCTTTTTCTGGTTGAGAAATAGTTGATCGTGAATTTTAGAGCAATAATAAAAAAACATATTACATGCATTGAACCATAACTGCTGTTTTATCCAGTAAATAGTACTTTTTTTTATTTCCAAAGACAATGAATTTCACATTGATTATCATGAGCAAGAGCATTTAAGGAGTAACTTGTGTGACCTATTTTGCTCAGAATTACCATGTAAACAAGAAACTATTGAAACTAAGTAATGCGTCTGTTACCAGCTAATGGTTTATTTGCATGCTCAAAAATTGGATTATTTTATATATATTTAGCATGATATCCTAATTTCTACTTAAAACTTCAACTGCAAAAAATATCATTACTTTAAGTAATTTTTTTTTTCCTTTAAACAACGTTTTATTGATACATATATACATATTTCAGAAGGTATAACAATAAGTAAAAATCAGTAAATAAATATGAAATGGTTTTTAATAACTGTCATTGAAAGCATGCATTACTTATTAAATTCCATTTAATACTTTCATGAATATCAATGACTAATGCATGATTGTAAATATTTAAAGATTTACTGTACCAAATTAAGTGTTCTTTGCACTTCAAATTAAGTCTTCACTTCAATATGTGGGGCATCTAATAGATATATTCGCCCACATATAAATAGGTAGATTAGTCAGCTTTTATTTTAGTATCTGTGAAGATAGAAATATCTAGATATTTTCATAAAAACATATATATATATATATATATATATACAGTCAAAAGTCGTTAATTTGGACACCCATAATCCGGAACACATGCGCATAGGCGTTTACGCTTGCGCGTAAACCTTTACGGCTGTGAATATACGTGTGCGCATGCGTGTTTAATGTATAACGGACGGTATAAGCTAAGCTAAAATTATCTAATTCAGTTAATGTTGCAGATTGCGTTGTTCCTTAAACTTCAAATTGGATCCTGCTTATTATTTTTTGCAGACTGTTAAAGCAATTTTATAAAAGTAAGTTTGAACTTTCGATTATGTCAAATAGAATTTCTGATATGTATTTACTAATATGTAAAGGATCTACAAAGTGAAAGTATGTTTCGAAGTCCATTAAACAAAAAGTGGAATTGCTGCAAAAAATGGATAAAGGCATATCCTTTGTTTATCTAACCATTCCAAAATCTGTTTATCAATTTCATGCTGCTCTGCGGCGAGGGGGGGGGATGTCGCGGCGTGCAATGAATTGGAAGTTGATCTGTCAGCGCTATCCTTATCTTCAGGGCAGATGTTTTTATTTTATTTGGCTTATAATTATTTACTAAATGTAGTATTTCATCTCGATGCACTCGGTCTTTGATATGATTTAAATCAAGTTCCTCGTCATTATAATTCACTTCGGATAGTAAAGAAAGTGACACAGAGGTTATTGAAAGTGAAAAAATTTCGATTGACAAATTAGTCGATATTCTTGACACAGCAATTATAGGACTTGAACAGCGGAATTTTGTAACTGAAGAAGAAATTATGTCTGTTTATAGAATTAAAGAGAAAGTATTAGCACATAAAACGAAGCAACTTACATTGGAAGAAATGTTTAATAAAGTAAACAAATAAATATTAAGCTTTTTTTTGTAAATTTTGATAACCTTTAGATCATAATTGCTCTTTATTTCATAAATTACAGTTTCATATTTTTCATTTTATAATTTCTGCATGCCATCTTACCAGATTTAAACTGATGATCTATAATCCGGAAAAATCAATAATCCGGAATCGCCGAAGTCCCGACGAGTCCGGATTAACGATTTTTGAATGTATATACATATATATACATATATATATATATGATTTGCCTTTGTTATGGAAAAATATGCACAATGAAAATTTATGTATTAGCATACTAAGACTGTTTTTTTTTTTTTTTTCTTCCTGTGTGTTATTGATTGCCAAAATAAGGCATGCATATAAAAGAAAAGAATTATTATGCAAAAGTTATAAGTCATTTTTCAAAAAGCTTTCTGAAGTTTTCCATATTATTACATTTTCTTAAGCAAAGATTTTCCAGAATTGTGGTTTTTATCTGTAAGCTAAATGAATAGTTACAGTGGGTTTATATAATTTGTTTTACAGAGAAAGAGAAATTATTAAAAAAGAATTAACTATATTTTATTTTGCTTGTGATCTGGTCACTTTCTTTTATTTCATTCTTGTTTATTAGCTATTAATTCTCATGCTTTAGTTAAGCTTTTCAATGAAAGCAGTTTCCTCAATCTTTGTTATGAATCCTTATTTTTTGGGGGGGGGAGTTGCAATACTATTGCTGATTGTTAATTTTTTAATTACAGGCATAGGATATGTTTATTTGTGAAATATAGGTATATGATGTCTGTCTGTATCTGCATATAAGCACATACACACATGTATAGACACACACAAATATATAAATTCATGAACTGTTCAGAAAAATTTCATCTTCTATAAGGCATTGGTTGACACACACACATATATAAATTAATAAGCTGTTCAGAAAAATTTCATCTTCTATGAGCCGTTGATTGCTTCATTATCAAGGTGACAAAGTAAAATGTAGTTAATTATGAACATAAAGCATTAAGAATGAAAATTTGATAGGAAAGGTAGGTCAAACATGAAGCATATTACTTTATATCAAACATATTCACCTTAAACAAAAGTAACTTTGTGCATATACATGATACTGATTAGTAAACATGAGGCACATACCTCTATGTCATGTCTATAAATGAGCTGAAAGGATACCCATAAAACATGGTGCCACCTTGATTAGACTAAAAAAATTAAAAGACAATATCATTTCATTTAGTAATACCTCATGTCTTGCTGTGTGTTTTTCTAAAATGAAAGTGCATCATCTTATTTCAACACAAAGATTATGCAGAATCACAATCTGTTTCCTGTAACTAATAAACTATTATGTTGTTTATGCTAGGATCTCTGTTCTTTACCCAAGACTAGCACTTGCTATTTTGCCATTTAGTATAATCCCTATGAGTCCTAAATTCTGCTGCCTGGTGCCTCTGTAAATTCAAAAAATTTTGCTACCTATAAATTTTGTGGATGAGTACTTCATTAAATCCGAAGATTTTTGCCTTTCCTAAATTCTGCTGCCTAGTGTGTCTGCATTGGATGCACTGTATTTTCTCTTAGTTGAAGCTAATTATGTAAATCATGTAAAAATCATAATAGTCAGCTTGAGCTTAGAGATAATTGATAATAAGCAATAACTAGAGATTATATCGGATGTTTATTAGAGGTCTAGCATAAGGTTAATGATTATGCCATTATCTGATGATCTTCTAATATCATATGGTGTAAGCAATTGTCTTCCCAGTCCTTTACTAGTAGAAAATCCCAGATCAAATTATTCATGGCAATAATTTATTTTTAACTCACCAGATGTCCAGCTCAGATTTTATATGTGGTTCACACTGTATAATGAAAATTCAACAAAAGATTGAAATGTATGGCATATTAAATTTGAAAATAAGATTTGGTTAAACGATTTTTAGTGACTGTGAATGTTTTGTTAAATGAACTGAACTTTGGCTGTAAGGCCATAAGCAACTAATAAGTGTTATGTTTTGAAGAAAGTGTTTGAAGTTAAAATACTGCCATGGCTATCTCACATTAAGAGCGACAGCTTTATTCATTGTAAAATTCATTTTGGGTAAATTTATGTGAAAAACAAACAATATGTGGCTTTATGCCACATACTTTCAAAATTTACCTTTTAAAATTTCTAAAAACATCAGTTACTTTTCACTGTATTTTTTGCTTTACATTCAGTTTACACGTTCAGTTCAACTTACTTGTAAGCTTTCAAATACAATGCACAGATATGCATTGTTAAAAAAAATCATTTTAAGTGGAATTTTATAAATTGTGTCTACTAAATTTCAGTGCTTTACAAGCATTCTTGGTCTGGTACTTGCATATTAACACAAACCACTTTGGCACAATTTGGCAATTTTTTACATACAAAAAGGTAAAAGTTACTAATTAGGTGCAAGTTGGTGGTTTTCATGAATTTGTTTTAGAAAAATTCCCAAACTATCACTATTTATCAGTTGTCAACGCAGGAAAATAAAATGTACTTTAGCAATTTAGAATAGAAATTTTAATTATTACATGATACATTAAAAAAATAAAACACTTATATCCTTCACCAAATCTTTCTGTAATTTCTTCTTCCTAAGTACACAGCAATTTGTTTTTGCTTTAAAAAAAGTCAGAGACTCAGTATTGTGCCACCATAGCAGTACTGCCCATTTACCAAACACGTATGTATCCTCATTGTTCCCTTTATGTATTTTACAGAAAAATTCTCTGTTTCTCAGAAATTTTATTGCATTTTCTTCCATTTGTCACAAAGAAACAGAATCTAATTTTATCAGACATAATATGCTTATATTGTAGTTGTTAATTAATACTAAATTCTGTGCCCAACTCATGGTATATTTTTGTTGGGTTTCGTAGCCTGCCACACATCTTTATCATGAATGGAATTCAGAAAGTTAGACAGCCATGAGTTAATTTTAAAATTAGACGAGAACACTAAATTTTCTTAGATTTTAATCTATGCAAATCTGAAGTATTTTTTATTTGGTAGGGAATGGCAGAAAGGCTAATTTTACATTTTGGCTAATTTCACAGAAGTTAACTGTTGATTCAGTATACATGAAAGCCTCTTCTAAGATTACTTTATTCATGGAGATTCTAAAAGGCAAATTTAACTCCTTTTTCGTCAGTTCTTTGATTTAAAAATAATGCAGTACAAAATCTGAAAACCAGACATCCAATACTCAGAATGATCTAAAATTCGAACCTCCAGATCACAAAAACCCATGTGTGTATGCTTTGCACTTGTACATTTAATATATTTTTATAACAAAATATGTGAAGAATCCTGATTTTTAATTTCCCTTTAGCACTAAATAAAATACCTCCATACTGAATAAACAATCATTTATTAACATAAATCTGTATGATAATGATTTGGCTCTTACTTTTCTCTTCTCATGCATCTTAAACCACAAATTCTACATTGAAGCATCATTGATTTTATACATACTGAATAATTTATTTCCCTGACACTAACTGGGTGCATCATTATTTATTAGTATTTGTTTTCATCGCTCCATAACTGTCGAAACATGGTAGCTTGAGTAATGACTCATGTAGTGATGTCTGTACATTTTGTTTTTTCAAATACTATTTATTAAATGGCAAAGATTATGGTAACTTTTTAGCTAACTGCGTTGTAGAATGCTATGTGTTGATGAGAAGAAATTTAAGAGATTTTTTCCCCATGAAAGTTTGTAAATGATACTGACAGGTGAAAATATTACATTTAGAGCTGTTTGAACTGAATATAACTGATTTATTAATCAGATAAGCCCCAGATCGTTGCCACAGCAGAATTTAGGAAAGACAAAATTTATAGAACTTAAAGAAGCACAACAAAATTCAGAGGTGGCAAATCTTTAGAATTTAGGGGTGCACTAAGATGCAAAATTTAGGGATGGAAAAATTTTTAGAATTTAAGGAGGTGCTTGCCAGCAGAATTTGGTACCCATACAAACTGCACTGGGGAACAAAGTGTCTAGTCCTTTCCCTGGATATGCCTCAAGTATATGTGGGAATTTATTTATTTTGGGCTTAGATAAACTTTAAAAATGAGCAGGGAATAAGATTAAGTATAATAAATAACTAAGCTAAAAATTATTCATTTTTTACCTCATAAATGTGCGATAGAAACGAGACAAAATTTAGTAGAACAATGTATTTAGTCACCAATCTCTTAATACATCACGCTGTATAACGGACAATTACTAAGCTTTATGGTGATAGCTGCAAATTTGAAGGTTTTGAAATATCAGCAACTTTGAAATATCGGCAAAAGTTAAATTTTCCAGTTAATGTAAAATTTCACCTTTTGTAAAGAAATGTGGAGAAGTGATAATAATATAATAGAACACTGATATAACAGAAGTTTTCCATTGTAATGATAAAGCCCAATCATTAGTCAACTAATGGATGGCGAAATCCTTTAATTTCTACATGTCATCATACAAAACTGATGATCTAATATCCGGAATTGCCGAACTCCCAATTAATCTGAATCTCGGACTTTGTACTGTATATGTTTAACAATCAGTATAACCTTCTAATATCATGCTAACACTGCATTAGTATTAGAGGATATTCTTGGTTGTAGTTTTTCATGGTAGGATGTAGGACTTTGTACTGTGTATTTTTAACAATCAGTATAACCTTCTAATATCATGCTAACACTGCATTAGTATTAGAGGATATTCTTGGTTGTAGTTTTTCATGGTAGGATGTAGACTCTTGTGTCATCTTAACTTTTGGAAAATTTGAGAGAGAGTTCACTTTCACATGCATTCAAATTTTATTGTAATTCAGTATGCTGTTTTCATGTTTGCAATTTTTCTGGACATTGGTGTATGCAAATTCTGTTTTCCATTATTGTTTTTTTAATTTAAGTCATTGAAATGGTTAATGATATTGATATCAAATTAGGAAATACATTAACAGAGCTTGAGAAGATACTTCAATATTCTTTAAAAATTTTCTTAGTTCAGCATTTTGCAGCATCAGAAACACATTGTATCATGTTGCCAAATAAACAGTATTGTGTAATTAGTATTTTAAATAAAAGCATTTTATTGTGCAATAGAAGGTATTCTCTTTACAGTGTGTGCAATAAATTATAGCAAATTTTTATATCAATTATATTAACTAATTATTAATTACAATATTTTATTATTTTTTAAAGTTCTTGAATACAATTGTTGTTATAATTATTGCTTTAGGTATTATAATTAATGCTTTAGATTTGCTGTGATTTATATTATCTTAATTTACTTTGTTTTCCAGTTTTTATGCATTTTAATATGAGATTTAATCCATTGTGATTTAAATCTTAATTGTTATTTGCATTTATTTTCTATATTTTTTTTAAATGTGTTATGTTTGATGTTTATAACTGAAGCGGAATAAATTATTCTAAACTGAGATTTCATCTCTATCTCAATCATAGTAAAGGCATGTTATATTTAACCTGTTAATTTAAAGAAGTGGGCATAATATTTAAATTCAGCTAGCTGTAAAAATTGAAAATGAGTTTAAAATAATTCAATGCGGTCCAAAGCATAGTATACATTACGTTGTACTCCACTACATTTCATTCGTGTAGTTATATTCTTATCAATTATATAATCTAAGTTCTGAAAGAAAGTAAATATAAAATACATTTGAGGTTTTTATTTATTTAAATGCAATTTCACTTTAATTATATTTGTGTAGGATAGTAAAAATTTGTAGTTAAATAAACTCATAAGTGAAATACTTTATTCTGCATTTTTATTATTTATAAGCACTGAATTTCATCAATGTTGAAAAATTTTTAGAAAATTAAATCCTGCAGAATTTTTCCTGCAGAATTCTGCAGAATTTGCAGTTAACAAGAAACAATAATTATGTTTCATTTTTCTGGGAATTTTAAATTTTTATCTTTTATTAATAAAAGTAGTTTTGTGAGATAGTTTTTAATTAAAGAAATATGAATATATTTTTACTTTTACAAAAAATATTATATTTTTATTGCAGGACATTACCACTGCATGCTTGCTTTTATTATCTTAAAGTTTTTTATGATTCTTTTAACTTTTCTCTTTATAGGGTGCTGTAATAATTCATGAAGTATATCCTGATGGTGCAGCTGCATTAGATGGTCGCTTAAGGCCAGGTGACCAAATTTTGGAAGTAAGTAATAAGCATTTGTGTTTTGTTAACTGTTTATTTAAATGTAATTTTACATTTTGTTTATTTATTGAATTATTGTGATTCCTTTTTCATTAATCATCAGTTTTACTGAATAAGAAGTAAGCAGCTATTTAGATTAATGATAACGTTAAAATTTTAGACATCTTTCTTATAGATAAAAAAAAATTAAATGAAATTCTGGTAACATTACTGTAAAAGTAAATATTCATTCATTTAGTATTTAAAATTGCTAAATATAACTAATACTGAAAAACAAAAAACAAAAAAAGAAAACTTTGCATATTTTCTTACTCATAAAAACAACAGTTTAACATATAAACACTATAATAATAATCCATATGAGGAAGTGCTGTTATTTGGAATTTGTCATTTGCAGGTTTATATTTATCTACAAAATTAAATTTTCGGTCTGAAGTTTGTGCTATTATCTGTAGTTGTAAATATTCTGACGTACACAAATTCTTCCTAGAGCTCTCACAATGAAAGAGATACATTAATACAGAATTATATCATTAAATGTAATTCAAAAATCAAAAGTTTCATATGAAGCAAGTGCTGTAATGTGTTCTAATTGTCTCTGATTTAAACTGCTGAGCAGTGTCCTATTAGATTTGCTTGTAGTTTTCTAAAAACCTCTGTTGAGTTTTGAAGTGTTAAAAGTTCATGTCTTAAAAATTATTTATGTAGATTAAGACTTACTAAGAATTTTTTCCTCTTAATTTTTACATATCCTGTGAAGGTGCATTGCATACAAATTACAAATAATTGCAGATTTATCTCTATTGATACTAGAATATTGTTTTGAATCCAGAAGAAGTTTCTGTGAATACTGTTTAATAGTTAACAGTATCATCTTAGAATGTATGTGACACATCCTAACATCTTAGTATATAGCTTAATTGAAAGAATTCATCATCCTTCAGTTCCAATAATTCAAGAGGCATTAAATTACAGTAATACAGTTCAATTCATATGATTTAGTTTTTTCTATGTTTGAATTGTCAGTCAGATTAACATTCAAGATTTTAACTATTAGCCCAGTAAATAATTTTCAATCTCAAAAGTATACACCATAATGATCAAATTTATATATCTTCATTTCAAATTTTAAAACTGTCTGCAATTTAATTTTCTTATGAGTACTTTTCCATTAGCGCCTTCCACATATTTTGACAGTAGTGTGGTAATAATATATGTGTGCATTTAATTATTCTTGTTTACACATGTTACACGTCTGTAGATGGTAGTATTGTTGTATCTCGGCAAGTGTTTGGCTTCTCTTTCACAGGGGCCAAAAAGCGTACCAGGTGCATAACGAAAAAGTACATTTTGAATATAACATGTAATAGAATTATGCTTTGATGTATTGAATGTTGTATTGAAGACATTAGCACCTTCTTTTGTAACATACGAGGGCTATCCAGAAAGTAGATTACGTTTTGGAATAAAAAAATAAACAAAGTATAGGAAACAAATTTTATTATATACAGATGAAAGCCACACTCAAATACTACTTTTCTACATAGTCACCATACAAATTAAGGCATTTATCGTAGCGATGTACGAGCTTGGAAATTCCTTCGTCGAAAAATTCGGCCGCCTGCGCCTTCAACCACTTCGTTACCTCTTCTTGCCTTCCATCTTACACAAAACTTGTGGTAACCAAGCTTTTCGCTGATGATTTCGTGCAACAAACTTCGCGAAATTTGTGGAAAACTCAAAGAAAGTTCCGTTATTGTGAAATTTCGATTTTCACGGACTTTAGCATCGATTTTTTCGAGAAGTTCGGCGGGGTCACTATGCTGGGTCTCCACTTCGATCTTCGTCGTGAACATGGTTCGGCCATTTTGAAATCTTATGACCCACTGACGCACTCCATCTTCAGTGATAATGTTGTCCCCATACACTTCACGAAGCTGCCGATAGATTTCTATCGGTTTTACAGTTTTTTGCAGTCAGAAACCTTATTACTGAGCGCACCTCGCAGCTCGCGGGATTTTCAATTAACGCAGACATTTCAAACCGTCACAGTATCTGAACGGAGCACAGCACGAACCTCTCACTAGCACGGCTAGATGCAGACTGAGCTGCGCAACGCTCTGACCCCAAGATGGCCGCGCTAGCCCCGCCCCTAGCGGACACAGACGGAAACGTAATCTACTTCCTGGATGGCCCTCGTATAATAGAATTAAACTGTGATAACTGATGTATTGAATGTTGTATTGAAGACATGGGAAATATGTCATCAATATAATATTCACTACATCAGTCATCACAGCATAATTCTATTATATGTTACATAAAAAGGTACTTTTCTATTATACTGTCATGTCATTTAATATATATTACTCATTGCTTCTGTGTTATACAGAATTAAACTTAATTTATTTTCTCTAAAGGTGAATGGTGAAGACCTTCGGGATGCACTTCATGAGCATGCAATTACTGTTCTGAGGCAAACACCAACAGTTGTTCAGATGCTTGTTTACAGAGAGGAGGGTCACAATCATGAGGAAGATGCTTTTGAAACATTAGATGTAGAGCTGTACAAAAAACCTGGGAGAGGGTTAGGTTTAAGTATAGTTGGACGAAAGAATGGACCAGGTGTTTTCATAACAGAAGTTGTAAGTTTCTTAATTTTTTCTTGCCCAAAAAATTAATGTTGTTCCATTTGTATGTGTCCCACCTTTTTTTTTTTTTTTTTTTTTTTTTTTTGGTAATTCTTTTAAAAAAAAAAAAAAAAAATACTATTTTTTCTTTATTAATTTTTCTATTTGTACTTCATAACTGTGAGTGGATATTATACATTTCAATTATCTATTCTTATACATTAATATTAATGCAACCACCTTAGTAGAACCTTTCAACCTCAAACAAGACCATCCGATCAAGGCAGTTATTAGGGGTCTCCGCAACACTGCCAAGACGGACAAAATAGCACAGGAACTGACTTATATTGGATATAGCGTTCTGAGTGTGACTCAGTTTCGCAAGCATAAAACCTGGCACCCCATGCCTTTATTTCTCGTTCAATTGAATCCATCATTAAATGCCTTCGATATTTTCGAAGAAACAAGAATGATGGGATTAGATATCAACATCGAAAAGCACATAGGCAGAAAAGGTCCAAGCCAGTGCTGGCGCTGCCAGGGCTTTTTTCACAGCTCGCAGTATGTACTACTTTGCCTCTCAAGTGTCTGAAATGCGCTGGGCCGCATTACGCAGCTCAGTGTACGAAAGGACCCTGATGCACCTAACACCTGTGCCAATTGCCTTGGCAGCCATGCCAGTAACTGGCTTCACTGCCCAAGACATCCCTAATAATCAGAAAAAGGCAAAAAAACCCCAACTTTCGGAAAAAGGTGCCGGGAATACAAAATTCGTACCCGCTCCAACTCCTGCTCCTCTCAGCAGCACAGGATCCCCTTTTTCCTCAATTGTTTCCGGACATAAAAATAATCCCGGACTTCAAAACCCCAAAGCCTCAGAGAACCAGCCCTTCTCCTAACCAGATGCAAGAGCAGCGAACAGTCCAGACGCCACCAGCCAACAGCCCAGGTTCCAGCCCCGACTCCTGACGATGGAAGCTGCACAGATACTCTGCGCAGCGTATTCCAAATTCTCAAGGGAATTCGGAATTCAACATTCAATCTTCTACCAAGCATTCCGTGAGGCTCTACCAAAGCTCAGACTTGTCTCCTCTGGGCCGGTGAGGGCCTTTTGCATCTACGAGGCATACTGCAGCCTCCTCAACTAAGGCTTCAAGTTCAACTCGACGACAGCAGAAGACCCTCTCCTAATCAGCATTCTGGAATGCCAACGGCATCAGAAAAAAATACACGAAGTCCGGGATTATATTAGTGAGCACCACTTGGACCTCTTCCTCATTTCTGAGACACACCTGGTTGAGGGACTTAGTGCGAATATCGCGAATTACATCTGCTACCGCAATGACAGAGCGGATAGCAACAGTGACACTATTCGTGCTAGTGGCGGTACTTCCATTTATATAAAACGCTCCATCAAACATTCAAGAATTCCTACTCCACAGTTAGAGGCTTTAGAGGCAACAATTGTCCAAATTTATCTTCCAAATTGCCCCCCCCCCAATAGCAGTAGCGTCCTGCTATATGCCTCCGAGACGGGGACCTGTCTTTATCTCCGATCTCAGAAAACTAAAAGATTATGGAGATTTCTCTCTATCAATTATTGCATATTGTTTCCTGGGGGTATTGGTGCTCCCTTTATCAAAAATATTCCTTTAGCTTATTCGATAGAAGTGATACTGGAATTGTCCTCGGACCACTACCAGGTACACCTCACCCTTAATTCTAACAAAATCAATGAAAATTTACCGGCGCAAATCTCAACAACCCCATCCAAATTAGCAATAATCAGGAAGTTGACTTTGCCATTCAAAGGCTCAACCAAACCCTCTTAAACGCATTTAATGCGGCTTCTAAACCCAAATTTAAAACAAATTATTCTAAATTACCGGCCAATATTAAAGAAAAAATCAAAATTAAAAACCGCCTTCGCAGAGATTGGCAAAACACACGTCTTGAATCTATTCGAACTCAACTGCGAAGGCTCCAGAACGAGATTAAGTCTGACATTAAGAAATTTTCAGATGATAAATATACAAAGTATCTTAAGTCTCTCAAGACTTCTAATAATAGCCTTTGGGATGCTAGCGCTCCCAGACACGACATTCCCCCCCCCTAATGGGCACGGTCAATGACCGGATGGCACTTACAGACACTGAGAAGGCTGAACGCATTGCGGACAGTCTTCAAACACAATTCTCACCTAACACTGGACTCATGTTCGATTCCTGTGCACAGCACACGCATGATGTCCAACACCAAGTTGAAACTTTTCTCTCCTCAGATCAACCTGAGGAACCCATTATCACAACAATGACTGAGATTTCTGCCTTTGTCAAAAATCTCAAACCTACAAAAGCACCAGGCCTAGATAGGATTTCTAATCGCATGATTAAGAATTTACCTGTCAAATTTGTATTTTACCTAGCAGTTTTGATGAACTCAATGCTAAGGTTAAAATACTTTCCTGATAGCTGGAAAAATGCTTGCGTTATTCCTATTCTAAAACCTGGAATGGACCCAAAGGTCCCCCAAAATTATAGACCGATCAGCCTCCTGTCTTCACTTAGTAAAATTTACGAAGCTATACTGCTTAGATACCTGAATGATTTCTGCCGAAGCCGAAATATAATTATTTCTCAGCAATTCGGTTTTCGAGCTAAACACTCAACTCAGACCCAGCTACTGAGGGTAGTTGAAATCATTCACACAGGATCTCGCAGTGGAAAGCCTACAGCTATTGTTTATTTAGACGTAGCAAAGGCTTTCGACAGGTGTTGGCATATCGGAATTTTATTCAAGCTCATGCGACTTGAAATTTCGGCTAATTTTGTGCACATAATGCACTCTTACCTCAGTAATCGTTCCTTTTCTGTCAAAGTTAAAAACTCTATTTCTTCTCCTAGACCTATCCAGGCGGGTGTACCTCAAGGAGGAATAATTAGCGCATTGCTCTTCAACTTGTATGTAAATGACATACTACAATCACCCAGTGTTGATCTAGCACTTTATGCAGATGACACAGCCATTATCTCACAACACCCATCACTGCACCTCACTCTCATGCACCTCCAACAGTACTTGTCAGACTTAGAGTCCTGGCTCGTCACCTGGAAAATCAAAATTAACGTTGCCAAAAGTGCCGCCACCGTTTTCTTCTCCAGGAAGAGGAATGTCCATAATCAACTCCAACCACTCAGGCTCTTTGAAGAGGATATACCCTGGGTGGACTCATACAAATATCTAGGAGTTTATCTTGATTCGAAGTTACTCTGGAACACACATATTAATTATGCAATAGGAAAAGCCAGAACAGCAAGAAACCAACTCTTCAGCCTCATCAATAGAACCAGCCACCTCTCTCTGAAAAACAAAGTCCTCCTCTACAAAAGCACCATCTTCCCAATCCTCACCTACGCAGCAGCCATATGGTCTACAGCCGCCAATAGCCATCTCAAGAAAATACAAGTGTTTCAGAGTATTACGCTTCGTATCTTGACTAATGCTCACTATTATGTCCGAAATGAAGTGCTTCATAATGATCTCCAAATTCAACCCCTTGATGCCTATTTCCGGCACAATTCGGCCAAATTTTTTAATAGATTAACGCTAATTGAAAACCCTGTCCTGCACTCACTTCCCGTATACAATCCGGCAGAACCCAGTTCTGCCAAGCGACCTAGGAGCGTTCTCTCGAGAACATTTAACATCTTTCCTAGGAAGCCAAAACGGAGGTGTTTGCTTGACTAGGGAATTCTCTTATTTCTCTCTAAAAGCACTTCACGGGCTTAACCCGACAACCTAAAATTATTTCTCCCACCCCTGGACTTAATCCAGCAATATTTAACTCGCAATTCAAGTCCGTGCTGCTCAGATCAACATATCTCCCTTTGCCAAGACCTTTACCAATTAATAAAGAATTTAATATTTAAAAAACAGAAATTATTAGTGGGAATAAATCGCTTTTACCATCTATTATTTCCAGATAGTATCTCTAAATATACCACCTGCATCCTGCAATAATTAATCACCATCTACTTAAATCAACCACTGCCAGACAAACTTATTTTAATCTTAAATTAATTACAGCTCTATGTCACAATAATCCTTACAATAGTTCACAAGTTTTATTTTTCAGCAACAGTAAACTCAACAAGCTTGCATTTCTTACTACAATCCTGCCTTAATTAATAGCCACCTAACCTCTTACACAAAAGTAATCCCTTTAAAATTTACCGTTAAACTTCTCCTCTCTTTTGCTTTACTTAACCATTACAATAGCCCTCCAAAGCTTCTCCCCCCCCCACCTACTCCTCGCGCTCCGTCATTTTCGCAGTTAAGTGACGTATGGTTACCTGCTGGCGGTCGGAGTGCAAACTCCCCCCCAACCTTACCTTGCGCTCTTTCTCTTCTCTCCTCTCCTCTCCTCTGCCATTTTTGGCCGCCTCTTCAGCCATCTTTGGTCGTCAGACCGGCTCCCTTCCCCCGCTCATCCCAAGGCATTAGCGAATCTGCTGCTTTTCAGAGTAGCTATGACATAACCTTTCCCGGGGCCGGAGGCAAGTTCCTCTCACCCCATTTTCTTTCAACTGTTTCGATTTCATTCACGCAATGCATGCAGGAATCGCCTCAATTCTTCTTCTATCTTTCTTATCGCTTGAGGTCTTTGACCCTTTCCTAAGCGAAATTGAAAGATGAAGGAAACTTTCGTCCCTTGAGTGGACCTCTCATTCACTTCTGGTATTTAAACCCTTAACGGTTTCATTCTCTCACTTTAGCTATGCTCACTCTTAATTATTCAATTTATTTTCTTAGCGAAGTTGTGGAGGTTATTGCATTTATTTGCAAAGGTACTCCGGAAGCAAAACGCCTTGGGCCTTAGTAGAAGTCACCAAATTTTCAGAATGTGCCAAACTCTGGCAACCATGCACAAAACCACTCGTCCAGTAACCATTCTCATAACAGTTCCTTCAACCCAGCAATGGTGTCATTTCATATGCAATCCTTTTTTGTTGTATTAATTTGCAACGTTAAGGTTTTTTTATAAATAACATGACATACTTTTTGCTTTGTTTTAAATTATGAGCTTGTGAAATTTGCCAACAATGGAAGAAACTGCTGTAAAATTTTCGCAAGCATACAGAATTTTGCTGAAATTTTTTTAAAGGAAACAGTGAGGAATGTATTTTCTGGATAGCCACTGTTGCCAAGGGTTGCATGAAGCCAAGTCTTCATAATCCTCTAATATTTTTCGAAGTGAAAGGAAATCTGAGAGAAGAATAATACAAAAAAAATTACTAAAAATTTGAGAAAGAATGTGTTTTATTTTTTTTTATTGTGTCACATAACCCTTATTTAATAATTCAAATTTGTATTTTAAATTGTTAAAATATATTTCCTTCTCATATGTTGATAATGTTTACTGACTTACGATACATATCCATAGTTTGGGAATCTCTCTAAGAAAAAGGTAGGCAAACCACAAACTTGCACTGAATATTTACCTTTCATCTGTAAAAAATCGTGAAATTATGCCAAGGTGGTTGCATTAATACATAAGTACCCTATTCTCAAATGTATCATGCTTTTTCAATATCTAAAAATCGAAGAAAACAATATTTAAACCAAATGTGCATAAAGTAAACAAAATACTCAAAATTTATTAAAAGAATTTGTAAATTTTGTTTTATATAATGTTCATGTGTTAGGAAGCATGCAGATTCATGATAGTTTTAATTTTAAAAATTTAATTTTTAAGTCCATTGTTAATGATTGAAATAATTGGATTTAAATTAATCTGAAGATGTTGAAACAGTAGCACATACAGTAGTATAGAGGGTTAAGAGTCAAAAATTGTTAACTAGAGAAGTCTTTAAATTGAGATACATCACTATACTGTTTTGACACATAATTTGTTAAAGACCTGTAACTCTTTGAATTCACATAAGTTATCATTTTTTAACCAAAAGATATTGTTATCATGTGTAAGCCATGCTTATTACATTTTTTTTTTCCCAATAGCATTCTCTTGTATTATTTCAGAACTTTTCTAAATGGTTCAGTAATATTAATGTCTAGTAACTTAGGATATTTTGATAGCTGTTAGGTTTATTCTGATGTTCTTAAAGCTATCTTGAAATATGTTTTGTTATATTGATATAAGTATTTTCCACATAAAATTAGGAATAATAATTATGTGCCTCTTTAAATGAGCATGTCTTCGAAATATGTCATGGCAATTATATAATGCTTTGTATTTTTAAAGTTCTTATAGAAAGCTGTTACACAATATTGATATATAACTGCAAACTCCCTTTGTGTGGCTTCTGTCTGCATTTTTAAATTCTTCCTTTGGTGAAAAATGAAATAAGAAAAGATTCATTGTCCCAAATGACGAATTTTTATTTATCATGGTTTAAATTCTGATATTATCTGTATGTACTGGATGGAACTACCCTGTATTTGAAGGAATTGGAGATTTTCTCTATTTTGCAGCATCCCTAATTACTTATAGAACTGGTTTCAATCCATTATCATAATTGGCTCTTCAATCCAAAAGCATTTGGATTGTGGAGTTAATCCAAATCCAAAAGTTACCATCGAAATGTATAACATCTTCTTGAGTGATATTCATCTGTTATTTTTTTTCTGTCCTTTTAAATTTTGTTGACTAATTTTCATATCATCCCTTTGAATGATATGAATACTAGTCCACAGAATTTTAAATTGTTTTTGGTTGGCAGTTTGTTTCCATTTTCTCACTTCAGACATTCTATGGATATCACAAATTGTTTTCATGACACATGTATAATTATGGATATTCCTTTTGTTGCCTGTAAGGGTTGGACTGATGCGTGGACATATTGATTTAATTTATAATTTCTTGACTTAACATTATTTTCATATATTTGTGTATTTCAGTTCAGAAACAGGCTTTCTCTTTTATGTGCCTTGATACACCAACCCCTGATGAAGATAAAATCTATTTGCCTTTACTTTTTTCTGTCAATTTGCCCTTGTCTTGTATATGGGGTTATTTTTGTATGAATTTTGTTTTTATATAGGACTGATTTGTCTGGGGATTTTAGAACATCTCTCATTTTCTAGTTAGTTTTTGTAGTATCTGTTTTGATTTTGGGGGCCAATTCATTATTCCAGGATTAAATATGGTATTTTAATTTGCTTAAATTACATTTTGAATTTAATATGTATATATATATGTGAATGTGTGTGTACACACACATGCACACATAGGGTCAATTTCAAGCACAAGCAACATAGGCAGCTGCGTAGGGTAAGAATATAGAGCAATGCCTACCCACCTGGCATCTAGGCCTTCTTGTTTAACCAGAAGCCTTCTCCAAACTGCCACAAACGATGGCAGCCAGCAGCCCGGCCGCGTTCACGTTACAGCCATCAAATTATGTGTTAAATATGCCTAGGGTGCCAGTTTTTGCAGTCAAGTTATTTTTACTGGCAAAAACTTCAAATTAATAAATGTTTAATTCACACAGGTCACAAACTGTACTGACTGCCTAGGGCACTGAAAAGAACTGAAGCTGGGCCTGTATACCCTTATGAAAATGGTTCATAGAATTCCGTAAAAAAAAAAGTCGGTGTTAAACTTTTTTAGAATCTTTTAAAATTATGACCCAGTTTTCTGTTAACTGAGTCAGAAATCATCTAAAGATTTTAATCAGATTTTAGATATAGCTTCTTGAGAATTATGTATAGAATTTGTATAGGAGTAAATGTAGATGTTTTACTACAGAGATTTGTGCAAAGATCTTGTACAAAATGTGTATATAGAGACGTTTCTAAAGATCCCACATATATGAGCATAAAACTGTGCATATCGATTCTGTTTATAGAATTCTACTGTAAATATAAGATCTAGTTTATAGAAAATTAGGCCCTACTTCTAGAGAGTTCTGAATAAGTTTCCTTTCTTTAATTTTCTATAAAATGTCATATAAAAGCTTTTGAGCATTTAAAAACATTATAAAATCAACAAAATTTTCCTCAGAGATTGAAAAGAATGAGTTAAATTTTGTTTTAATGGAATTTTTAATTTTGTCTAAATTTGAAATGATCAATATCATGGACAGGATGAAACTTCAGAACAGATCTGATTTTCTATATTTCTTTTTATGTGATTTCATTTAAAATATTTTAATAAAAAATTGATAGATTTTATATAGTGTTTAATTGAAATTAAGAAACTATTTTTCTTATCAGGGTTATGATCATAAATTTAATCTTTTAATTATTTTTATTATTTAAACTGGTTTTATTCTATAAGATTTAATTTCTGTGCTACATGAGCAGTACTGTATAAAAAAATTACATAAAATGTTATATAAATTTAGAAGATAAAAATATTAAGCTAGAGGGAGACAGCAAAACTTTCCATTAAAAATTATTCAACAGTCACAAATAAATAATTGCTCTTATCACATTTAGTAGATCAGAAACTGAAGATTTTCTTTCATTACATTTTTAAAACTTTGCAACATTCTATAAAATACCATGGTATAAAGGTTTTATAAAGTTTCTGTATGATTTTATTGAGAAACATTTCTATTGAATTTGCATTTTCTGTATTACCTATAAAATTCAGTAAGAATTTCAGTAGAGCTTCATTAGCCATCATAATTTTTTTTTTTTTTTTTTTTTTTTTTTTTCTAAATGATACCAAGGGTAAGCTTACAGATTTACAAGGCCTGACAAATACATCTTTGTGCTCCTACGAAGAAGCCTTTTAATAAAGAATTTTAATAATTTAAAATTTAGAAAATAATAAATTTAGAAAAGAATTTTAATCCTCTCACCCGTACACACACACATTTTGCTATAAGGTAGAAAGAGAAGAGGAAGCTGTACTTCTTTCCTTTATAAAGGAGACACTTTGCATACTGAGAGGGTGTACCATATTAGGTTTTTTCCATTTGTAGAATATTTAATGCAATGTGTGTGCAAAAAGGTAGAGTAACAAAATCTGTGTGCATTTGGGTTCCATGAAGCCTAAAATCTTGGGCAATTGACTGTATGGCTTGATTCTTAATCCAGTGTTGATGTTACCCATTTGATTGAAGAACAAAATTTTCTTTGGTAAATATTTTCATTACTTATAGTTCCCCATGTAAATACCCTATGTTCATCTCCCTATGTAAATACTTTATTTATTTGTTTAACTATATAGGTTAAAGGTGGTATAGCTGAAGCTGATGGTAGACTAATTCAAGGTGATCAGATTTTAGAAGTCAATGGACAGGATTTAAAGTCAGCATCACAAGAGCATGCAGCTGCAGTTCTGAAGGTAAAAACTTACTGTTTTCCAAACTGCCTTTCTCTGAAATGTTACTTTGTTAGTTATTAAGTTATATTTTTTAATTTTCTGTGTTGTTATTGTTAGACTACGATGGGTAGAATACACATGAAAATTGGTAGATTAAAAGCTGGGTCTAGGCGAAGTACTTCTAGTTTAACAACTACTCCAAAAATTCAAGAAAGTTTAGACTCGTAAGTTCAATTGTTTCTTTCACACTTTTTTTTAATAAAGTGATTAGGTTTATGAGAAAAAGTATATCTGAAATTATTAAATTAAAATTATTTATTGAAAATACTATTGCTTATTGTTCATGACGTTTGATTTTAACGTAAAACATAATTTTTTTTCAGAATGCTGTTTCCAGTTTTTTTTTTTAATTTATTGTTTTCTTTTTGCATTAAGCATAATCAGATGAAGTAGTTAAGTTTCTGCTTTTACTAAGCTGCAGTTCAAGCATTATATCTTGTATTCTGCTACTAAATTATCTGTCTTTTTGTTGGTGTTATATTTTAATGAAAATTTTTGTATGCATTTGATTTGCATGTTTGTTATAAAATGCCACATGAATAAGATTAAATTCATTCCTATTGTAATCTGGTTGATTATGGGTGTGATTGAATCATGGAATGTTTTTTTTTCCTGTGTGCCTGCTCAGCTGAATGAGCTTGCTAACTATCTTTAGTTTTTCATATAACATTTTTCTGAATTTTAGAAATGCATTTATATTTTAAACAAAATAGTTATTTACTATCCTTCATTTGTAAATACTTCCTTGGAATATATATTTTAATAAATACATCTGCAGTGCAAAATTTTTACCTGTTAATTAGCTTAAACTATTGAAATATCCAAATTAAATGTGTGCATGATTGCATCAAATGTTTTTATTCCATGCATTAAATAGATCTGAAAAGCAGATATGTTTAATGTTTCGGGTCTATTATTGAATTCCTCCACAAGACTTAAAATTTCTTATTGTATATCTCATGTATCTTATATTTTCAGCTTGTTTAATCTTCAGTAGGCTTGTGTGCATAGTTTCTATAGGTAATATTGTATCGCACTTCGTATTTTTTAATATTAAGTATCTCTAGTCTGGTGTACTTCTTCTCCTTCCAAACTTTCTTCACTGCATGTTACTTGTGACTGTGTGTCTGGTGTACCACTGTGTTTTCTCTGTCATATCTGTCTTTTCACTAGTGACTATTGCTTCTGTAGTTCTGAGTATAAGCTAGTGTTCTATGTAAAATTACAGTGCTTAGCTCAAACCTTGCAGATTTGGCTAGTGATCTGATCCTTTTTAGATTTTGTAATTTTCCTTAGGATATCATTCCTGAAATCTTTTCCCTATATTTAACCTATCAGAATTTTCTTTACTATTGTATACAATTTTATTCTGAAATATATATAATGCACGCTAATACTGTAATTTCGGGTAAAAAAGCCACCCTGCCGTTTATGCCACACACATAATTAAAAAAATTAAAGTTCATAAGATAAGCTGCATTGCCATGTACACCACAGCAAAGCATACCAAAATAAGGCACTTAATATTCATTTATTTAATTCTCTTCCATTGTTAGCATTTTATAACATTTAGAACATAATTATGAATGTTAATATATAAACAAATAAAAAAAAATTTCATGTGTACACCACATGACTTTCTTGTATGGAATATTAAATTATACCCAATGTTCCTGCATTTCATTTAAACATATTGAATTAACAGTTAACGAATTTTGAATTAAATCTACTTTGTGGATAGCCAATAAACCACAACTGAGTAAATGCACTCTTTAAAGTTCACTATATTTATTTATCATATTTTTTTGACACTTTTACTTAACAGCGTTACATCTCATTCATTTTATAACTCAGAGTGCACAAAAATTATATCATCTGAAGAATTACCACATGTTTTATTTAAATACTATAATAAATCTAAAACAATATTTTAAAGAAATTTAACAAATAATAATGAAACAGTTTTTTCACATATGATTCAGTGCCACTTACCTAATGCGTATGCGCTACTAATTAATTCAGTTCTCACTTTGCGGAAAGGCAAAAGTACATAAAAATTCAAAATATTTTCATTAAAAATTGAAAGATATAGAAAAACATAAAACACCAAGTACATTAAAACATTTTTTACAATTAAAATTACAGTTTCTATGCAAAAACAAGCTAATAACTTAAATGATAATTCCAGAATGAATTAAGCATAATTTAATTTGCAATAATAAAAGAAGACATTACTTGGTTATTGCGAAGCTTATTTTCTCTAGATTGGCAACAAATCCACTATTCTGCTAAGTGTCAAATGTAAACAAATATGGCTAACGCGTTAAACAAAAATTAGGCTTAAATGCACTTAAAAAACTTTTAAATTGTTGGTAATTCCACAATTATTGCATGCAGGTTAACTAAAGGTATAGAAACCTTAACCAGAAGATAAGAACAACATAATTCAATAATTTTTAAAGCAAAAAAGGCACAATTTATAAACATATAAGAATAAAGAAACTGAGCTCACTGAGCTGAGTAACATATTTACGTATATGAAAATTATCTTAATTTATTTCACCAGTGTATATACATATATTTATGTACTTTTGGTGCATCCAATTACAACCAAAATGAGTGGTGCACATCTACATGTCATAGCAGTCTTATATACAAAATTTCAACTTTCTGAGGCTACTTGTTTTTGAGTTATGCGAGATATGTACTAGGACATACATATGTACATACAAGCGCCACGAAAAAAATCTGTTCAGAATTCATTTTAAATCAGTTTTATAATTTTTTTTTCGGGGGGGGGAAGAGTCCTTTATTCTGTCCTTACATACAGATGTCACGCGAAAACGTCATTAAATTGCATTCGATAGTAGTCAAATTGCATATTTTCGTTGAAATATGATACACAAAATTTTTCGTGATTACAATACCTCCTTTTTACTTCATACAAGGAAGTAAAAATGTTGCGTATTCAAGGCAAAACATTTTGCTGAAATTTTCTCTGAGTGCCCTAGACCAAGTTTTCAGTGATTAAGTCTGTACTATTCTAATGCAGATGGAAAGAAAAGAAAAACACAAAGCATTGCAGTTGCATCCTTTGTAAACTCTGCCACTAATATAAACTGTTGGACTAACTGTACCAACGAGGGCACCCTCTGGTGAGTAGCCAGAGAAGTACTTTAATAAAAGCCAAGTGATAATTTATGACAGACTCTTGTTCTGTAATTTTTTTAAGTTAAATGTAATGTCCATGTATAACTTAAACCTGTTAATAAATAATTGTTACTCTATAAAGGATTATTTTATGATGTGTACACCACATGACTTACTTGTATGGAATATTAAATTATGCACCATTTTCATGCATTTCATTTAAACATATTGAATTAACAGTTAAGGAATTTTGAATTAAGTCTACTTCACCAATAGCGCATAAACCACAATAGAATAAATGCACTCTTTAATGTTCACTTTATTTATTTACCATAGGACACTTCGACGCTAGGTTAACTTAACAGCGTTACATCTCATTCATTTTATAATTCAGAGTGCACAAAAATTATATTATCTGAAGAATTACCACATGTTCTATTCAAATACTATAATAAATCTAAATCTATGAAAAAAATCTCTTCAGAATCCATTTTAAATCAGTTTTATAATTGTTTGGTGGAGAAAGAGTCCTTTATTCTATTCTTATGTACAGATGTGACACAAAAACATCCTTAAATTGCATTCGGTAGCAGTTAAAATGGATGTTTTCTTTAAAATATAATACCTAAAATTTTTCGCAATTACAATACTTCCTTTTTACTTCGTGCAATGAAGTAAAAACTTACCTTCAACTTGCCCAAAACACTGTTGATTTCTAATAGGCATTATTTTTACAGGTTTAGTAAACTTTGTTTATCACCATAAATTAATGTATTATGAAAAAGAATACATAAATTACATAGTGAATCAGAATTTTATAATTTAACTACATTTACTTGTATCATACACTTCAAAATCTGACTCATCTATGCCAGAATTAAATAAATGTAACAAATGGCCAGCAAAGTCAGTTTCATCGCTCTGTTCTAAATCACTTCTTTCATTGCTATTTTCTTTCTTTTCTTTTCTTTTCTTTTCTTTTTTTTTTTTTTTTTTTTTTTTTCTATGATTTCTGATTTAATCGAAGCTGATATGATGATATCAACTCGGACTGATAGCCATGCTTTATTGATCCACAAGGCCTTCCTCATATGAAACTTTTCTCATCTGGACAAAATTTGTGAAGAAATAGAGTCAGCTTTGTATCCATTCCTTGCATTGTTTTTGTAACTCATGATTGAAAATTTTTGAAAAGATCTAGGGGCATTATTGATAGTAAGATCCAGTGGCTGTAAAATTTTCGTGAGCCCGCCTGGTATCACTAAGAAATTTGTGCTAAGTTTTTTTTTTTTTTTTTTTGTTTTTGTTTTTGCTTTGTTTTTACCATATCCACTAAATGGGATTGCATTAAATACAGAATGACAAGTCCCTTAGGTTGAAAAAAGTACCTTTCCTTTTTCTATAAATTTCTGTCGGTTAAGTCATCGTCACTTCTTTGCACATCCATACTTTTTTATTGCAAGTAATGAGACTAATTCCTTTAGGGAAGTTTCTTTATGGAACTGTTTTCCTTTTGAAATTTATCAAAGGGGTTAACTGCTCTCCAATGGCAGCGCAGCCCAAAACACGAGTAAAAGAAGTTTTTTTCATTCCCGGTTGTTAACACACCAATAGATTTTTGCCTGTTGAATGAACTGTTTTGCTCGAAGGACAGTCAAAAGTAATGAGCATTTCATCCATACTAATTTTTTGCTCTCTATTCAAAATTTTTTGTTTAATTTTCTTAGATGTGTACTCCATAAAAGCTATCTTTTTTTTTTTTTTTTTTTTTTTTTTTTTTTCAAGCTAGTCTACAGGAAGCTTCTGTCCATGAGAAGATTCTGCCTGTTGTTTGGTTCCTGATGGATAACTTCTGTTTTATGAATCTGAAACACCATTTTGGTTCTACAACAAAAATTTTAATGCCTTTTTATTGAGCAGTTATTTTTGCTTGAAGGCAAATTTTAACTGTTGATACTGATAATCCCTTTTCTCTCTGTTCTGCTGTCCATTTCTCAAAATTGTCTTCCAAAAT